AGTAGTAGTAGTAGTAGTAGTAGTAGTAGTAGTAGTAGTAGTAGTAGTAGCACCAGTAGCAGCAGCAGTAGCAGCAGCAGCATTAGTATTAGTAGTAGCAGCAGCAGCAGCAGCATTAGTAGTAGTAGTAGTAGCAGCAGCAGTAGCATTAGTAGTAGTAGTAGTAGCAGCAGCACCAGTAAGTGAATTTTTCAATCTTCGAAGTGAACGTTGACGCGCCTGTCTCTACAGCGCATCGGTGATTTACGCCTGCCTCCACTCATCCCTGCGCTCGCGCCTGTTCGCTGCCGCTGCACAATCATTACTGCTCGCACCGTGGCGCTTGCGTCGCCGCCAGCTAGTCGCATTACCGCACGACGACCGCAGCCTGTATAGCTCTACTTCCTCTCCGGAAGGAATAAGCGGGAGTTACGGCACATGTGTGATACGATTACGTGACAAGCTGCACGACGCACTGCGGGATCGCTACGATGAAAAGGAAATATAAAAAAGAGCTCAAAATCGTTAAATCTATTAATTCCGAAGCCTACACGACCGCTGCAATCTACGCTAACACCAAAACGCTCGGGTACTCAAAACTAGCAGGCAAGGGGAAACCAATAAAAGAAAGTGGCGTAAATATGTAGCATGCGGGGTAAAAAATATCGCAAGATTACTGAGGCATGCTCCTGAAATGTAACCTCTTAGTTGAAATCACGCGATTATATAAACGCTATCGTGCGATGCCGCAAGAACTGCCAAAGATAGAACCTCGTGGAGAAATTTGATTTCCAGCCCTATTCTCCACGAGGAGAGAAAGAACCAAGAGATCGGGCGATGCCGCCTTAGATTCGTATATATTGCCACGGATGAGCGGCAGAGAAAATGAAGCCCCGTGAGCCTGAGTCCATCTGCGCGAAGAAACATCGCGACGAAACGATGAGAGAAAACAGCAGTTGCGGCGCATACGTGTGAGCATCGTCGCTGCGAAACAGCAGGTGGAAATCTCGCACGTGGCGTACAGCTGGAACAGCGCTTGTAACGCTGCCGCGACATAAAGAGAAACACGACGAGGGAGTTGTCATCATAGACCGAATGGCATAATAAATTAATTCGAGTCCCCAGTCGAGCGGCTTGCCGTGCGGCAGTGCAGCTAGCGCATCATCGCGCTCTGCAGCCCACAAAGGACGGGCGAGAAGGCGTGCTAATGTGCATGGTGCCATATTCCCCTGCGGAGCCGAGCGCGCTGCACAGACGAACACGCGCACACACGTCACACACCTGGACAAAAACTAATTAGGCACTCAGCTGTGAGTACTCCCACTACAAACATCCATGCAGTAGCCAAGGGCCGGGAGAGAGAGAGGGAGGAGAGTCGCACGCACGCACGCACATACACGCACATTTTTTTCCCCATAATGACACATTATAAATTGTACACATTAAATTTTTAATTGGCACCGTAACGTTACATAATTGTCAGAGTCCGGTTCGTAACGATACATTTCAATCACATACAACTAAGAATTCTTCTACTCGTTTGCGATAGAAAATCGACGATTTCGTTGACAGAGAATGCAGCGCGCAGCATGACGTCAACTCGGACATCATCTCGCTTCCCATTGTCGGAATACGTACCCGTAAAGTGGCCGCGGTAACAGGACACCTTCCTTTAAGCAGTGACTACTCGTATTACGGTCGCAAATCGCGAAATATTGGCAAGTCGAGCCTTTCGCAAGTCGCGCATCAGTTTGCAGCGTTCGCTCTATAGTTCAATGAGGTTCTCCCTTGGCGACTCTCGGTTCTGAATAGACTCTATATATACGCGCAAGGCCGATGAAAGCCCGCCAACATTTCGCCAGGTAGAATCCGTGAAAAGCGCTCGGCTTACACATAGATTTCATCCCGACTATTAAAAATTGAGTTTTGATAATAATAAAAGTACATATAGGACGAATGCGTGTTTATATACGATTACTTTATTCATATACGCTACGATAACTTCGGGGCGTTCGAGAGCACACATTCAGTTGACTCGTACTGACAAAAATATGGATATTTTACGGGCTGATACGTATCATATACTGGCAGGAATACGGGTAGTAGCTTGATGACTTAAGGACCGATACAAAACATATACGCTTAAACATGTATGTGTACACATACGCGCGCACGCACACACATACACACGCAAGCACGCACGCACGCATGCATACTCACATCAATAGAACATTATGGCATTACAATGATATCCTATACAATCGAATTGACGCCATCGTTCGATACGAACTCGTTACATGTCAAAATCAACCAAAGGTAACATCTGATTATTAAAATAACTCGACTAATCCATCTATTCTACAATAATCGATTATACGTTCGGTCTGAATAGCAGTTATGAGGACGGAATACGTGCGTCGATAACTGTGTGTGTGTGTGTGTGTGTGTGTGTGTGTGTGTGTGTGTGTGTGTGTGTGTGTGTGTGTGTGTGTGTGTCTGT